AATAGCTCTCAGCTAACAGTGTCATACCCCCCCCCCCCCCCACGCAGTCATATCTCCCTCTCCGAATGATTGAAAAATCATCCATGGCGAAATTATTAAAATAGAAATAGCTAGGAAATGAGAACTTAAAAATAATATTTTAAGCTCTTTCAGCTAACTGTGTTTGGCATAACCCCCCCCCCCCATCCTTTCCACCAATCATATCTCCCTCTCCGTAGGATTGAAAAATTATCACCTGGCGAAATTATTAAATTAGAAATAGTTAAGAAATGAGAGCATTATAATAATATTTTAAGCTGTCTCAGCTAACGATGTCTAGCATAACCCCCCCCCCCCCCCATTTCCCATCATTTCATCCTCTCCGAAGAATGGGAAAGTCACCGTGTAACTAAATATTGTAACAAAATTGAGCTTGGTATCCGTGTCCACCCAGACTTAAATAAGTAGCATTAACTTGTACAGAGAAGTAAATGTAGCCAGTGTAACAGCTACCACATCATCCATCCAGTACCAGTACTACTGCAACCACTACCACCACCGCCATCACGACAACAACAACAACTGTCACTACAGTCTGTGTAGGTCGGTGTAGAAAAGAGGAGTTAGCGCCGCATGTTGTCGCCACGGTTTTGTAGTTTAATTGTGCCCCCGACATAGGAAGAAACAAAAACTTGCATCATGTAACCAGTGATGGAACCCACAGTGAAAAGTACACTATACTCATGAATATCGGAGTAAATACCCCGCACCCGTCATCTCTCGCTCTCCGAGGGAACGATTTTTAACTGACCTTGACATCCGTGTCCACCCAAACTAAACTATTTTCTGACAAAAAAAATCACGCTTTGAGTCAAGGGCAACGTTGTGTGCAAATTTAAAAGCAATCGGTTCAGTAGTTTTCGAGTTTTTAGTTAACAACATTGGACAATTTTTTTAAATATAGATTTCCTAATATTTCTTTCTTTTTTTTTTTAGTATCCAGAAGCCTTGCAGTTGTTAACTCTTAGGCTTGGTATTATGGATATCGCAACCCTTCGGCCTTGATTCCATTACGGATACTGTAAATGTGGGAGAAATGTGACTTTTCTGCCTACCCCCGGGCGTGAACCCGGACCACAAGGAGTTCGTCACCCGGTCACCGCGCAGTCCGGTTTAGCCAACTATGCTAGAGAGCCGGGCTTCCTATTATTTCAAATGTATTATTATTTATTTGCCATTTTGGTACACAATAATAATAATAATAATAATAATAATAATAATAATAATAATAATAATAATAATAATAATAATAACAGTTACTATTATTATAGCGCAATTAAACAAAGCTCAATCACCTACCCCCATAGATAATTGTATTATGGTCGTGGGGCAGGGGTGAGAGAGAGAGAGAGAGAGAGAGAGAGAGAGAAAGAGAGAGAGAGAGAGAGAGAGTACGTTTTTTACGCCTACACACATACACACACATTTGCGCGCGCAAAAACACACACATACGTACACACACACACACACACATGCGCATACACGCTTTGAATGCACTCTGGTGATCCATTTTGTTTGCAAATATTTACATAAAGGATAAATATAATCGGGTGATCTCACAAGCTTGACACCGGATTTCATTCGTACGAACAAATAGACATCACATTTACTTATGTCTGGGCAATTATGAATATTTACTGAATGATTAAATCTGATCCGACGTGAGTTCCCATAACTGAATTTACGGTAGCAAACGATATAGAATAAAAATGGCGTTTAAGAGACAGAGGCGCTGAAAGGGTGGGGGGGGGGGGGTGCAAGAAAGAGGGGACTTCAGGCTTTAGGGCTCCGCTGCCGCTCTTGAAAAAAATCGAAAAGGGGGAGGGGCGGGGGGGGGGGGAGATTTAAGGAACTTCTTACATTAAAAAAAATTGTCGGGGGGGGGGGGGGGGGGGGTATATGCTGTTTGAGCCCAAGGATTGAGGGTTTTTATACGGTTTTTATTCCTCCTAGACCCTCCCCCCCCCCCCCCCCCTCAGAAAAAAACCCACAGCCTTACCGAGTGTTCGAAGTCGAGTCTCTCACCTGACAGTCCTGAGTTCTTGACCGTTCGGCCAGCCACAGTAAGGTACACATTCTGCACTAATGGTGTAAAAACAGAATGTACAGTACTGAAGTAAAATCTTGCGGGTATTAAAACTGTTCATTGTCGCAGGCACTATAGTTTAAGACGACCCCAAACAAAGGGAAATTAGGAATCCCCAGTTCAGTCCACTATTCTAGGGGTGTTTGGACATGACTCTACAACATGACACACAACACATAACACCCCTTGAACTGGACTGTGGATTCCGGGTTTCCTTTGCTTGAGGTCGTCTAAAATTATACTACCCTATCGTAAGCTTGTTGAGCTGGGTTCCACATTCAATTATTTCCAGTGTCCGAGCAAACTTGTGGACCTCGATCTGAAGAACCAGCGACTGTGGCTTCACAGCTTCGTGAAGCAAATCCTTTAAGGGACATCACTCTCGGCAAAATCTACCCGCCAGTCGTTTGATCTGCCGCCAATCTTCTGTCTGGTGCATTTGAATGCCTCGATAGTCTTGAATGACCAGTGTTTATCACTTTGATGTCGGTTTTTGTCCGTCAACCGTGTCTTCCATTATTGCCCTGTCTAGACGACTGTAGCTGCACAACATTTACATGACATGATCAAAGAATGTCGACTATCTATCTCCCTCTGATGTAGGCAATCAGTTCGCTTCGTGAGTCAGTTTCTTTCATGACATCTTCATTACTCATTTTGATCTGCCCAGTGTCTTCTCATCATTTGTCTACACAACCACATCTCCGTCGCTTCAACATGATTTTTGTTTCACTAGTTATCCAGCTGCCCTTGACATAGCAAGGCACTTCTGTCCTTGTTCCGCCTTTCATCCCCGGGTCGAGCATAGACCATAAACTATCCAACGCCAAGTCGTCCTATTCTTTGCTATTGTATGTAGCTCGCACATCCCACATGTCATCACTGTCTTTTTAAACTTCACTGCCGAGCTTCCCTTACGTTTAACCAGCATCCTCGAAGGTAAAGCTTTAGGTTATAATTGTGACTAGGTTATGTGCGCCATTAAAAAAAAATGGCTTAGCACTGGCTTGAACGTGGTGGAGCTTGTGTGTGTGTGCGTGTGTGCGTGTGTGTGTGCGTGTGTGTGCGTGTGTGTGTGCGTGTGCGTGTGTGTGTGCGTGCGCACACGCGCGTGAAAAGGGATCGGAATTAGAACACCACCCCCTCCCCCCCCCCGTGTGGGTTCCGGGGCCCTACTATGGGAAAAACAAGAATAGACCCACTGCCTACCCAAAAGCATGTCGTAAGAGTCGACTAATTAGGAGCTGCCTTCGAAGTCGGAGTGCATCTGCCTGAGAGGCAAGGAACCAACAGTCTGCATACAGATCTGTCAAATGGATGCACACGCAACCCTCAGGTTCTGGAACAGGACTGCAGTCCAGAAGTGGACGAACAACCAGAACTTTCCGCCGGAGTTTACAGCCGGTGAACGAGAAGAAGAAGAAGAAGAAGAACACCACCAAGAGCCCTGACAATGGTCCTGCAGTGTTGATGCGATCATAGCAGACGGACCCAAATACTGTCCCAGACTGCAACGAAGTTGTATACCGGCGAACCAATGGGCGACCCGGTCACCGTTGCCTTCTTTATGGTTTGGTCTGTCTTTACTTATATGACCCAGAGGGTTCCAATGCAAATATATTTCAATTATACTGTTCTCATTGTTTTTGGTTTTTTTCAACGTGTGCCCTATCCAATACCAGCTTGTTTTGATCATGGCACTAAAAGCAGTTGATCCAGAAAAGACAGTTCTCACTCTACTATTGTTCACCGTGGTCTAGCAGCTAGACGCTCGCCTGTGGATCGGAAGGTCGTGGGTTCGGTTCCTGACAGGTGCCGGGCGTTTTTCAAAAATGACCTTGGCTTCCAGGTCGACACAGCCTTGAGTGGGTACCAGGTGCAGTCCTGGGAAGTAAAGGTGGCAGGTGTGATGCTGACCTCATCACCCAACAAGTTCCGTTAAAATATAGGTCTAGCCCTATATACCCAATACGCCTGAAACGCGTGAAAACGTACCTTTACTTTACTTACTGTACTGTCCGTGGCTTAGGCGTTGCGAGTCCGGCTCGTAATTCCAACGTACCGCGATCGAAACCCACTGATGGCTGCGTGGAATTGTATCGTGGTATGGGGGATCGCGGGTCGACCCAGCCTAAAATGGGTACCAAGATGTATGTCCTGGGAAAGTAAAGACGGCCGGCGTAACGCTGACCACATTACCCACCTAATACCGATTGGTCTGTAAAATATGGGTGCTCTTTCCATGTGCCCGATGCGCCTAAGGCGTAAAAAGGGATCTTTAGTTTACTTGTTTACTTTACTATTGTTCACAAACAAAGGAGGATGGCCATAGCAATGCAAAGATTGAACAGCCTTAAAAGTCTATGGTTAAGCACCAGCAAGGAGATCAAAATTAGAATTTTGAGAGCATGCATCTTCCCTGTGGCTACATACGGATGTGAGTCGTGGACTATCTCTCAGTCCTTTAGAAAGAGAATTGGGGCTTTTGAGCTGACATGCTATAGAAAGATTCTCAGAATATCTTGGACAAAGAAGATGAGACATATTGACATCTTAAAAGATCTGAACATCAAGGAAGATTGGTTAATAAACAGTATCCTTTCTCGAAAGCTGAAATATTTTGGTCATATCAAGCGCCACGACGGATTGGAAACAGTTATAGCAGAAGGCATGGTACCAGGAAGGAGGGGCAGGGGCCGACCGACACGAAGATGGACACAGGATATAAGTGACTCGTTGAGTGTCAAAATTCATGAGGCGGGATAACTGGCAAGAGACCCAGTTTCTTTCAGGCAGACTGTAATGAGAGCGACGTTCTGCAAAGGACCTGCTACATGATGATGATGATTGTTCACAAACACACAATGAGCCTTACCAAAAGCCTCCAGCACAGTATTGGCCTCCAAGATTTGTTGTTCTGTCCAGAAGGAAGTATGGTTGGTCACGGAGCACAAATATTGCAGAATAAACTTGGTCGTCTCTGTCTGTGGACAGACAAGAGCCCCAGAAATACTTTGTTAACATTATTGTTGGGTTTGAGGTTTGGACAACGGATCAACATCATGGCACACGGTAGTAATCTATAAGTGCTTCTTTCTACTTCTAACTCAAGTCTGAGTCCAAAGTGCCTCAGAGCAGTGCAGGGGAGCCGTAGCACCGGCGAGGATCCTCAAATATTTTGCGTAGATTTTCAACTCCAAATTTTGCCCGGGCAACGTCGTTAGCCTACTCTTCTCGATTTCCAACTGCCAGGGGATTTTTTTTACGTGCGCAACACGGGCGTCCTATCTCACACAGAAACCAGTGGAAATTAATAGAATTCCACGCGGAAAATATCCCAGCCTTCACTGGGGCCTGAACCCGGGACATCTTGGACTTGAGGCGGACACCATAACGTTAACATTCTTCTATGTTTGTATATCCCAGGAGTTCTCAAACTTCCCAACGCCGCGACACTTTAATACAATTCCTCATGTTTTCGCGACCCCAATCATAAAATTTGTTTCGTCGCTACTTCATAACTTCAGTGTATATGTTTTCCGATGATCTTAGGCGACCCCTCTCAAAGGATCGTTCGACCCCCAAAAAGTTGAGAATCGCTGGTCTTTCCCAATAAGTCGTAATTATAGGTAATAGCCTTTTGTTACGAGGATGTAACATTAATAAGAAAATGAGTTATAAAAAATCAAAATAGCTGTCACCGCAAGACAAGGAGCGGCATCCGTGGCGTTGCAAATCCGACTTGTAATTCCAACATACTGCGATCGAAACCCATTGCTGGCTGCGTGGATTTTTATCATGTTATGGGGCGTCGCAGGTCGACCCAGCTTAAAATGGGCACCAGGATTATGTCCTGGGGAAGTAAAGACGGTTGGTTTGTAAAGTTAGGGGTACTTTTCCCATATGCCCGATGCGTCTAAGGCGTGAAAAGGGATCTTCACTTACTTTTTTTTTTTACAAAACACGGAACATGTGCTTCAGGCATGCTGACTACATGTATGTAGCTGATCTTCAACCAGCTCTGTCTTCTGTCTTGGCTGTACTCACGGCCATCTCTAGATCTAGTCTATTTAGAGACGGATGTTGTTGTACACTCTCTCAGACTGCTGTCTGTCCATCTCTTGATGTAATGCTCCCACTTGTATCGTTTTCTGCCTCTGGCTTTTTTGCCCTCTTCTCTTTCCTTCAGTATGGTTTTCTTAAAGAGTATTGTGTCTTTTAATGTTGCCAATATATTTCAGCTCTCTTTCTCTCTCTCTCTCTCTCTCTCTCTCTCTCTCTCTCTCTCTCTCTCTCTCTCTCTCTCTCTCTCTCTCTCATTCTCTATCTCCGTCTCTAAAATACAACTGCTGTGTGAAAGGTGGGTGTTTGGAAGGGCCTAATGTAAGATGTGCCTGGGTGCCCAATTTGTAAACCTTTTGAAAATAAAGTTTGCTCGTTCATTCTTTCGTTCGTTCTCTTTTTCTCTCTCTCTCCATCTCTCTCTTTCTCCGCTGAATTTCTTTTAGTAGTTGTCTTTTCATTCGCAGTTTTTTCCCCAATCTCTATTTTTTATTCTTTCCATGAAATGCAAGCTTTCACTGATATTTAATTCTTCTTCTTCTTCTTCTTCTTCTTCTTTTTCTTCTTTTTCTTCTTCTTCTTCTTCTTCTTCTTCACTTCCTCTTTTTCCTCTTTTTTAATAATTTATCATCTAAAAATCACGAGCAGTGATAGGTCAAAATGGACACTAGGCACGGGCGCTATTTGGAGCCGAGCCAGTTTTTATTTCCTTCTGCCAGACGGTGGCCGTTGCATTTTTGCTCCATTTGTAGACTGAAAGGATATAGTTTCGTCGCCCAGCTTCTCAGTTGAATGCATGGCGTGACACTGTGAGCTGCGGATTTCATTGGAATGTTTTTTCGACTGTGACCAACGTGGTGGTGTGAATTGAAGATTCCGAAAATGGCGCGATGCCTGTTGTCGCAATGTTGTTGGTGCCCTTATGTGATAAAAATTGATCGCGTGTGCAACTGCTGATCTTTTGGTGACTTCTGTTACCATCAATGATGAACTGCATTTCTAATGTCGGACTGTTTGTGTTAGCACTTCTGATGGCTACCGTATGCTTTTAATGCGTGTGTATGATAGACATGCTGAGACAGCAGTCTTGTTAATTTTTACACAAAGGACTGTGATAAACATTATGTGTGTTTTTAGTTGGCACAGGAGCGAAGCAGCGATGGGGCGACCTGTTTGCTATAAAGCTGAAACTAAGACTACCAGACTAGGACAAAAAGAAGATTAAAATCAAGGTTCCAAAAGAAACTAACCTTGCCAGCTCCACTCTCGCCGCTGATAATACAGCTCTGGTTGACGCTGGAGCTGTGGAGACTCTGAAAGGCAGCTTCCGCTATGGCGAAGATATGTGGTTCCACGTGACTGATTTTCTGACCACTGTAAGTACTGACCTCCTTCTGCTCATAGATCTTCAACTCCTTGTAAGGGTTGACGGCCACCAAGATGGACCCCGTGAAGGTCTGAGTTCAAGGTTAAGGAAATGTCAAGAACACAAGAAAAAGGAAAAACACTGCTGGTTGGTTAAAAAGGCCTCTATAGTGCGTTTCAACAGTCGGTAAATCTTACGTTGGTCTCCCCATTCACCGGTACACATTAGCTCACTTCTGATTGGTCGGCCTTGGGACACCTGACCTTTACACAAAATCCCGTGGATGTTCCCCAAAGCCGCTGATATCGAGTGTTCTATATTTCACCTTGCAAGCGCTTCTAACACCACAAAAACATTTACAAACTGGGTCTAACACACAATCTCCATAGAGAGTGCTGCAACCTATGTCACAGGCAGTCTCTTTCGTCGAATAAAAAACGCCACACACATAAGTTCGACCACCGTAGACTAGTCCAACAAATTTATCAGTGGAATGTGACTTACTTCCCGTGGGGAGACTAACGTTTGTTTAAATCAAAAGTCTTGCCTTTAAACACCAAATGTCTCGAAATCACCTGTACAGATCAACATGACAGAAAGACATGATTTTCACCTTGGCAGTTCATCATCATCATATAGCAGGTCCTCTGCAGAACTCGCTCTCATGACAGTCTGCCTGAAAGAAACTCAGTCTTTCACCAGTTCTCCCGCCTCATGTACTTTCTTACTCAAGGAGTCACTTATATCCTGTGCCCATCTTCGTGTCGGTCGGCCCCTGCCACTTCTTCCTGGTACCATGCCTTCTGCTAAAAAAAATTCCAATCCGTCGCAGCGCTTGATAAGACCAAAATATTTCAGCTTCCGAAAAAGGATGCTGTTTATTAGCCAATTATTAGCCTTGGCGGTTACCCTGGTGAAACAGACAGTTTGTTAATGTAGTTGATTTAGTGTTTCAGTTCGAAGGATTCATTTATTTGCTTCATGTTAACCATTTGTTACTCTAGTATGCACCGGACGAGATACAGCATAATATGCCAGGCAATAAATTATGCAATTTACTTTTTGTGTCTTCTTTGTTCAGATACAAAGGTTTTGTTTATAACATTAGATTCAACCAGTAAAATTCTATCCACTTTTGTCCTTCTTTCTGTATTAGCTGTCAGGCAGTCCGAGAAATATTTCCATTATTTTTCCGGTCCGATGGTGTAAACGGTTTGAAGAACACTGTATGCTCTATGAGACTGTGCTGCTGCCTAATCGCTTGCAGCTGGTGTAGAACCATGTATTTTAAGAATAATAATAAAGTGGTGCCTTAGCGTGCGTTCGCTTTGGTGTACGTTCAACTTGGTATACGTCCTATGTAGACACTGAAACATTTGCTTGGTATACAACATTTAATCTTAATAAGACAGACATGTCAGAACTTGTATGTGTCAAAATTAGTCGCAATACTGGGCGTTATCTTTGTTTACTTCTCTCGACACAAAGCCACGGATAGATGTCACTGACTTTACAGCGAAGTATCACGCCAACACAGCTCATATAAGCCGTAACAGCATAGTCAGAGAAAGCTCAACCAGGTCCAGGTAGTGAAAAGAGGGAGAGAGAGAGAGAGAGAGAGAGAGAGAGAGAGAGAGAGAGAGAGAGAGAGAAAGAGAGAGAGAGAGAGAGAACACAAGTATCCCATATTCCTAAAGTTTTTTTAGAAGGTGACGCTCCTTCCGAACCCAACCCCCCCCCCCCCCCCCACCCTCCACCCACCCCTAGTAGGCCCGCATCTTTTCTTAGGAAGGAAAAGTGAGATTAAATGTTGATTCATTTAATCTAATTGCATCTGAAAGTTTGTATTTAAGTATTAAGCAGTATAAGCATGATTTTATACAACCCCTTGAATGCAGTAAGTACCAATAATAATAACAGTTTTATGGGAACGGATTATCGCTCCTTTTTTTTTTCTTTTCCTGATGGGGAAAATTCGATTGGCATATGTCCAAGGACCAGGAACGGATTAAGTGCGTATACCGAGATACCACTGTATGCTTGTTTGTCCAGCTTTGGCAGTAACAAAAGTTAACCCAAATAACATTTCCAACCCTGACAAATACACTAGTGAAAAAATCGAATTTCCACTTTGGCATTTACGGGCAACCAGGCAATTGCACTACATGGGCAATTCTCTCTTCGCTGTCCAGTCCAACTAGTGCAAGGACAGAGTTTAATCTGAGGCCCACTTAGAAGGGCAAAGCTCCTGAGTGACCTACGTCTACTGGTTTAGGTATGCTAATTGCATGACCAGCGAACATACGAGAAGGGATCCCGGTGGAGCTGTTTCCCGAGTTGACAAGTCTTAACCAATTACCGTATTCCTGTGACTAAGTAGCGGTTGTAAATAAGATGCCAACAGACGAAGTAGTGACCAGAGAATAGTCACTCTGATGCAGTGGTTCCCAGTAAGATAAGACTTGGCACCATTATCGAAACGACTGAATACATTCTAATAGTCATAATGGTTAACCTATTATCTTATAATATCTTATTAGAGTCGTATAATATAAACTCTTAAAATCCTTGTGTCTGTGTGTATATATTTTTTTCTTTTTGTCACGGGACCTCCACCCAAACGGTTAGTAGAGAGGTGAAATTTGTAGATGTCATTTTGTCTAGGTCAACTGTGCTATTTGCAGCAAGGTTTATGAGCATTTCTGATAATTAACGCCACAATCATTCACTGGTGTTACTTCTCTTCGATCCCCAGTAATTTACAAATATTAGAATTTCACAAAAAATTTCATTCTAAAGATGATGTTCTGTTTGTAATGATATCAAGAATCCCTTAAATTTGTACCGCATACCACCGAATGTGACAGATCGCTAGAATATATAAGGACTCATTTATCGAATACTTACCTACTGTCGTTTTTCAATTCATGAAATCGTAAAGAGCTGTGAGCCGTAATGTGTGCCAGATGTTTTGCATGTGAGCCGTAATGTGTGCCAGATGTTTTGCAGTGTTTATGACCAAAAACTGGTATTTGGAGCAGGCAGCAGTTTATATGCATGATTCTGCTGCAAATATTGCAATTCTGTCGGACATGACCGATTGTGGTTTGAGGTCAGAATTTGAGGGAACGAGTCTGGAAATGTCATGGGAAGTCAAGGCAAAAGACGCGATAGTGATGACATCATACATTCAGTGCAGTTTGGTCGATAAACATGTCCAACACTATACACCCAGAAAACCCCGAGTGTGAGGATAAACATCTGTGTGTTAAGCCCGGCTCTCTAGCGAAGTTGGGTAAACCTGACTTTCGCGGCGGCCGAGTGACGAACTCCTTGTGGTCCGGGTTCACTCACGGGGGTAGGCAGAAAAGCCACATTTCTCCCAGATTAACGGTACCTATAATGGAATCAAGGCCGAAGGGTTGCGATATCCATAGTACCGAGCCAAAGGGTTTACAACTCATGGTTTCTGGATACGTTTAAAAAAAAAAAAAAGTGTGTTTATTCAAGTTGAAGAGAAGGTAGATAGAACAGCCCAAATTGCAAGAATTGATGATGGCAGAGCCACTAAGGACGTCCTCTCTAGTGAACTATAATTGGGTAGAAGTAGAATGGGTCTCTACTGCGATATAAAGATGTGTGCAGGCGGGACGTGAACAATACAGGTATTGAGGTAGATTCGTGAGAACAGAAGGCTTTTGTCCGTGTTGTGTGAAAAGAGAGAGAGAAGGGGGGGGGTGGACAGGGGGGGGGGAGAGAATGGTAGAGAGATGAGGGAAAGAAAGAGGGGAGGGAGTGAGGTGGAGAGAGATGGAGAGAGAGAAAATGGGAGAGAGATGAGGGAAAGAAAGAGGGGAGACAGAGGGCAGACAGAGTGGGAGAGAGGAGAGAGAGAGAGAGAGGGTAAGTTTAGGAAGGGAATCGGGATTTTTAAAAAAAAACAATGATTACAGATTGGCTAAGAGTTGAGTTTAATATGATTAAGATTACGGATCAACTTCATGGCACAAAGGTAGTAACCCATGAGTGCTCTTTTCTACTTCTGACTCAAGCCTGAGCCCAAACAATCTCAGCGCAGTTCACGAACTCTGTAGCACCTGAATACTTTGGGTAGGCATCCGATTTTACTACCCAGAGAACAGGGGAAATTACAGCCTTTACTGGGGCTGAAATTTGGGTAGTGAGTTTGTGCGGTGATGTTGATCCATTGTTGAAACAGAAACGGAAACTATCTTCTGGAAAGATGAAAATGTGCCAACAAGACAGGGGAGGAGTTGGGAATCATAGACAGATCGATTCAAGAATTCACGTAGGACCTACAAAAGGCGACTCCCGCCTGCAGGGATTTGGTTCCTTTGCGCTGAATGCTGTGACCTTTCCGAGACTAAAGTGCCGTTAGATGAAGCCTAGTGTCACGTGGCTTCCAGGGAAACACAACACGTGTCTCCTTTTGATGGACGTCGTGCTAAATGTCGTCTGTGGAATGTGTGTCCTTTTATTTGATCCAGTATTGATTAATTTCTAGTGAGAATATTAAACAATAGTGTTTTTTTTTTTTTTTCTATAATGTTACTGTCTGGTTTTCCATAACTATTTTCCCTGTAGACGGATAAACACTTAAGTGCTCCAATCTACAATTCTTTAAGTATGGTCGGCAATTCTGGCTACTTCACAAAGAAAACAAACAATTGTGTAGCTAGGAGAACGGGAGAAGCAGGAGAGAGAAATACAGCGGTACACGGACGCCTAGACGGGTGCACACATTAAGTTATGCTGTAAGATGCTTTGACTGATAACAATCTACTCTGTCGTGTAGGCTACACAATATATTTTTTATTGTAGGATCTTTGTGTGCGTATAACGCTGGAATATGTGGGTCTGTTTGTGTCATCGTGTGGGTTCCGGGGCTCTGTTGAGTTCGGGAACAGACGGGAACAGACAGACTGCCTCGCTAACAAGAATGTCGTAAGGGGACTGCGTGGTCTCGAGGCATGGTGTCCGCCTCGAGTGCTAGAGGTTCCGGGTTCAATCCCCGGAAAGGGCTGGGATTTTTTTCACGTGGACTTGGACTTCTAGTAATTCCCCCTGGAC